GTTTATTCTCATTTCTCATGTACAGGTCAAGGATGTCAGATGGGACCCACAACTTGGGGGCCAGAACTTGGAATTACGGTTGGTGGAGCATTTTGCAGATGAGTTTAATAAACAAGTAGGGAATGGTGTTGATGTGAGGAAGTCCCCAAAAGCAATGGCTAAATTGAAGAAACAGGTCAAGCGTACAAAAGAAATTCTAAGTGCAAACAAAATGGCACCAATATCTGTTGAATCCCTTTACGATGATCGGGACTTCAGGTCGGTGGAATTTACAGTGCATTACTCTTTTATCCTTGTTGAAAAGTTCCTTTATCATTGTCTATCTTTATTAATTTAACTAGTGGAAGCAATGAGCAGAAGGGTGAAAAGAGTTCATGTGGCAGTGGCTTTGTCAATTATTGTTCATGCGGCATATTTTTACCGTTGCCATACTTCTGGTTGATATAGACTTTTATGTGTTTCGTGATTTCCCTTCTAGAGTAGTGGAAAATAGGCTATTTTAAGCATCTCAATTTGAATACTTTTCAGAGCTAGCTGGAATTTGTGTCATTAGTTGTCCAACGTAGTATATTGAACATTATCGATATGTAGTTGTGCAACTTATATAGATAGGTTTCTTTGGGATGCCTCTGTTTCCATTGTTGGAAGTTCTATTATTAATTACTATTTATTCCACTGCTATGCTGGTTGATGTAGGTTTCCTTATAAAAAGCTTGGTTTACCCTTCTAGATTTGGTGGAAAATAAGCTATGTTAAATTTCTAAAGATACATGTGTTTTCACCTTGTGTACTCTGGCAATTTGTGTTAGTTGTCCAAGTTGACAAACTGAACACTATTTATTTCCCTTTCAGGAGCACGATAACTCGTGAAAAGTTTGAAGAGCTCTGCGAAGATCTGTGGGAGAAGTCACTTATACCTCTTAAAGAAGTGCTCAAGTATTCTGGTTTAAAGGTAGATGAGATATATGCAGTGGAACTGATAGGAGGAGCTACCAGGGTGCCAAAGCTGCAGGTTTGACCTATACTCTCTCTCCCTTTTGCTCTGGTGATGTCCTACGTCACCTTGATATTAATGTTGCGCTATTGAATCTCGTCATCTCTGAGTTGTTATGAAGAGTGATCATGAGAAGGAATTCTCTATTTCTTTTATGACAGGCTAAGCTTCAGGAATATCTTGGAAGGAAAGAGTTGGATAGACATCTGGATGCTGATGAAGCTATAGTTCTAGGTGCAGCATTATATGCTGCTAATTTAAGTGATGGAATCAAGCTGAACCGTAAGTTAGGGATGATTGATGGTTCTACCTATGGGTTTGTGCTTGAGTTAGATGGCCCCGATCTTCAGAAAGAAGATATTACTAGGCAGACACTTGTGCAACGGATGAAGAAACTCCCCAGCAAGGTAAATAACATGGAAATAAATACCAAATGTTAGTAAAGGGTTTTATTTTATAGTTTTTCCCGTCTAAGTTCACTCACTATGTTTCGGTTTGCTATAAAATAGATGTTCAGGTCCTTTATCCAGAGCAAAGATTTCGAAGTGTCGCTAGCGTACGAGAGTGAAGATCTTTTACCCCCAGGTGCCACCTCTCCTGTATTTGCTCAGTACTCTGTGTCCAGTTTGACAGAGACAAGTGAGAAGTAAGGATTGGCATTTCCAGATTCTTTCTGTACGATTTTTTCGGCAGTGCTTTAAAGAAGTTCTACCTATATGTCCATGCAAAAGCATGAGATGAACACTGACAACATTTTATATTTGTCTTTTCCATCTTATTTAGGTATGCATCACGGAATTTGTCTTCACCCATTAAAGCAAGTCTGCATTTCTCTTTGAGTAGAAGTGGTGTTTTGTCGTTGGATCGTGCAGATGCTGTTATTGAAGTGTCAGAATGGGTGGAAGTTCCTAAGAAGAATCTGAGTGTGGAGAATTCAACTAATGTTGCACCGAACATTTCGACTGAAACTGGTGCTCAGAACTCTTCAGAAGACAGCAATGGCAATACTAATGATGGTGGAAATAGTAACACTTCCAACTCTACTGTAGAAGCGGATGTTGTTATTGAAAAAAAGCTGAAAAAGCGGACCTTTAGGATTCCACTGAAGGTATATGTTAGATAATTTTCTTAAAGTTCTTTCATGCTTCTCAACAGCTCATTAGAAGCTCGTATTTTCTCAAATCTCCTTTTCATATTGTAGATTGTTGAGAAAACAGTCGGACCTGCAATGTCTCCTTCAAAAGAATTTCTTGCTGAAGCAAAGCGTAAATTAGAAGAATTAGACAAGAAGGATGCAGAGCGGAGGAGAACGGCAGAGTTGAAAAATAACTTGGAAGGATACATATATGGTACTAAAGAAAAGGTGTGTAGGTGCAATCAAATATTTTTTTCTTCTCGGCATAAGAAAACCATCTTCATTGCATGATATATTTTTTTATGAATATTTACGATGTTTCCAAATATTTCTGGATTTTTCCGTGATATTGTGCCTTGCAATTGTTGTTTGATAAAGTTATTAATGTAGTTTGTTTTGTATATTTTTTGTCACATCATGCATTTGAGGATATTGCATTGACTTGCTTTGTATTGAATCTGATGTTATTTCTCCTTTTTGTGTCTTTTGCTTTGATAGGCTAAATTATTTTGTTCTAGTGCTAGTTTCCCTATTTAAAAATGTTTTTGGTCATAACAATTTGTTCTTGTTTCAACCTTTTAATGAATTCTTTCTTATACCAGTTTGAAACATCCGAGGAATTTGAAAAAATTTCAACTAGCGAGGAACGCCAATCCTTTATTGGAAAGCTAGATGAGGTAGACATTTCTTTATTCAACCCAAAATTCAGCTTCATCATATCTCTGTCCTAAGTTTTCTATTTAACCTGTTGTCTTTTTCTTAGGTGCAAGAGTGGCTTTACACCGATGGTGAAGATGCTACTGCTTCAGAGTTTCAGGAACGCCTAGAGATGCTAAAAGCTATTAGTGATCCAATATTCTTTAGGTATATTCCAGTTTAGTTTGTTTGGTTTAAGTTTAATTGAGGGTAATACTGCATTCACCAAGAAAAAAGAATTGGGCAGTGATGTATAATTTTCAGATGTAATTTCTACAAGTTAAGTCCTGTGTCAAGTCAATGCAATGTATCTGATCTGATGAATTCTTGGGTGCAGATTCAAAGAGCTTACCGCACGGCCAGAAGCAGTGGAACATGCTCGAAAGTACCTTGTTGAGGTGCAACAGGTAATTCAGACACTGTCATTTTTATAAACTTGGATTATATATCACATGTTAGAAATTGAGCTCGGGGATATTGTTACTAAACAAATATATAGGCTTAAGTTTTACATGTGAAATGGTTGCCATAGAAGGTCAATCACTGTTAAATAGTTAAAGAGCTATTAATAAAGTCCGCACCATTAACTATATGTCCTTAGTAAACTATGAGATGTGACATATTCATTTATCTTTTCCTCATTGTGTTGCAGATTCTAAGTGGATGGGAGTCGAACAAACCCTGGATTCCGAAAGATCGAACAGATGAGGTGCTTCAATCATACATGATCTGACTTAAAACTCTTTGTCAATTGTAAATAGTAGTTGTAGTAATGATCTAATTTAGCTGCCCTTTGATGGCCTCTGACGCTTAAGGTGTGGGAAATTTATGTGTGTTTACCAGGTTGCGAGTGATGCTGACAAGTTGAAGAAGTGGTTGGACGAGAGGGAGGCTGAGCAGAAAAAGTAAGTAATTGTTGTTGCTGTATTGATTTCTTTTGACATTATTAAGGTAACTTGTTGATGTCAACCTATGCACGCACATATAATCTTAATTAAGGAAACATGCAGTGATAGCCCATTTCCCTGTGCTTGATATCTTGCTTTATGTTGACGATTGTTGAATGTACCGTGTTGCACATTGGTGCTGAATTTTTTATTTGGTTTGAAAGTGTTGCTTTTTTCGTTAAAAATCCTGCAGTTAGAAGTTATTTATGTGCATAATTTCACCCGGTTCTTGATTTGCATCTTATTGATTTTGGCTACTGACCGAGATCCAGTCTGCTCTCCTTGATTATCCATCAAGTATAGCAGCAATTTTATGACAGTGCTTCCATTTATTTAACCTAGTTTTGTTCTTCCTTGAAGGACTCCTGCACATAGCAAACCAGCATTCACATCGGATGAAGTGTTCGGGAAGGTGTTTGATCTGGAAGACAAGGTATCCTTTCGATTCTGTTTCTCGGTTGGGAAAATAAATGAAAATGCGATCCACAAGCTATTTCTGTACAATTGTAATGCTCTTATCGATGACTTTGTCTTTGTCTAGGTTGCCAGCGTCAACAGAATCCCCAAGCCAAAGCCTAAAATTGAGAAACCCGCAAGCAATGAAACCGAGAGCAGCGGAGAAAAAGCCAAAGATTCTGACTCGAGTTCTGATAATTCTTCACAAGATGACCAGAAAGCCGGAGACTCAGATGACTCAGCAAATGAAAAAGTTGAGTCAGCGGGTCACGATGAGCTATGATCAAATCTAACTGACATGTCAATTAGCCTTAGTTACTGCCTTCCCAATCACTGGATTTGCATCGATACAGAGGAAGGGAGAGGTGCACCTGCAATTTTCAGGACGTTAGAAAAGAGTAGAGTTTGACGGTCTGAAGAATATTTGCTCAGGGACTTCTCTCGTGTTACTCATACAGCTATCATCTCATACCCACATTACGGAGGGGCACCAATCGATTTTCTGCGTCGCGTCGCTAGAAGTCTTGATCGTTATGTTCTTCAGACGATATGATATTTATAGGGAATTTTGCTGTTGAGGAAGACTTTGTATCATCTTATTTAAGAGAAGAGACTAGTTCTTTTCAGTTGACACTTTTTGCTCTCTTTGTGGCCTTTTCTTTCTCCTCCTTTTCTCGACTTTTCTTTTCTCCTCCATTTTAGCTTCTCACAAACGCTTATTCAATCATTTTCGTTGTTTTCGTTTGATTTATTCGATCTGATGGTTAGAAAAAAAAAAAAAGGGGCTTGTGAGAAGTTAAAAAAAATGTGAAAATTACATCCTAAAATGATAACTAGAATATTTAAAAAAACAAAAAAGGAAGCTATTGTCGACATTTCAAGGAAGTCTTTCACATAACTTTTTTCTCGTGTTGTGTTAAAAAGATAACATGAGCTTAACTAAGTTCGAATTTTGTTTTGCAGTTTAGATGTATTAGAATAATGCATCTAAAAAGCGAGAAGTGTGTCAATTTTTGTTGACTCAACAAATAACAGTTCCCTCCAAAATACAAGTACAACACAACAAATATTGAATTGCTCAAACCACAAAGCAGCACTCTTTTCTTCTGCCTCACCAACAGCAACTGCCAACACCAAATGAGGCTGAGATCCATAGGTGAAAAGGGGACCCAAGTCTTCAACCAAAACCTGAAAATTACCCGGTTGGGGAAGTCGGGTCGGATCGACGAAGCGATTAAGGTTTTCTTACAAATGCCTCAAAGGAACACTGTAACATACAATTCGATGATCTCTGTCTATGCGAAGAATGGTAGAATTGGTAATGCACGCCAACTGTTCGATAAAATGCCGCACAGAAACTTGGTTTCTTGGAACACTATGATTTCCGGGTACCTGCACAATGACAGGGTTGAGGAAGCGTATAGGATTTTTGTTGACATGCCGGAGAGAGACCTTTACTCTTGGACTTTGATGATAACTTGCTTTACTCGTAGCGGTGAGCTCGAGAGCGCCAGAGAGCTATTCGATTTGCTTCCGGATAAGGGGGATGCTGCTTGTTGGAATGCAATGATTGCAGGGTATGCGAAGAAGGGGCAGTTTGATGATGCTAAGAGATTGTTTGATGAAATGCCGGAAAAAAATTTAGTTTCGTGGAATTCAATGCTTGCAGGGTATACGAAGAATGGGGAGATGCAGTTGGGACTAAATTTTTTTGAGGAGATGCCTGAGAGGAATGTGGTTTCGTGGAATTTGATGTTGGATGGATTTTTTGAGGTTGGTGATTTGGATTCTGCTTGGAAGTTCTTTAAGATGATTCCGGACCCGAATGTGGTTTCTTGGGTCACGATGTTATGTGGGTTTGAGCAAAATGGGGAGATCGCAAGGGCAGAGGATCTCTTTGAGCAGATGCCAAGTAGAAATGTGGTTTCTTGGAATGCAATGCTTGGAGCCTATGTTCGAGACCACCAAATTGACAAGGCTGTTAAATTATTCGGGGATATGCCTGAGAGGGATTCTGTATCGTGGACAACAATGATCAATGGGTATGTTCGTGTTGGTAAGCTTGACGAAGCAAGGCAATTGCTCAACCAGATGCCATACAAGAACATTGCTGCACAAACAGCAATGATGTCTGGATACTTGCAAAATGGAAGGATGGATGAAGCAAGTGAGATCTTCAATACCATTTCCATCCGTGACGTTGTTTGTTGGAACACAATGATTACGGGCTATGCTCAGTGTGGGAAAATGGTTGAAGCTCTATCTCTTTTCATAAAAATGATTAACAAGGACATTGTTTCTTGGAATACTATGATTACTGGTTATGCTCAAATAGGGCAGATGGATAAAGCACTTGAAATCTTTGAGTCGATGGGTGAGAGGAGCATAGTTTCGTGGAATTCTCTGGTTACAGGTTACGTGCAAAATGGGTTATATCTGGATGCACTAAGGAGGATCGTGAAGATGGGACAGGAAGGAAAGAGGCCTGATGAGTCGACTTTTGCTTGTGGTCTAAGCGCGTGTGCCAATCTTGCGGCTTTACAAGTTGGAAAGCAACTTCACCATTTGGTTGTGAAGTGTGGTTATGTAAATGACTTGTTCGTCAGCAATTCCCTGATTACCATGTATGCTAAATGCGGGAGAGTTGTGGATGCTAATTTTGTGTTCGAAGATATCAAGCGCGGTGATATTGTTTCTTGGAATTCTTTGATATCTGGGTATGCTTTAAACGGAGATGGTGAAGAGGCAGTGAAGCTCTTCAAAAAGATGTTAATAGAAGGGGTGAATCCTGATCAGGTGACCTTTGTTGGGGTGTTATCAGCATGCAGCCACAGTGGGTTGGTTGAGTGCGGTTTAGAAATTTTTAAGAGCATGACTGAAGTTTACCTTATTGAACCTTTTGCCGAACACTATGCTTGCATGGTTGACCTGCTCGGTCGTGCAGGGAGGCTAGAGGAAGCCTTTGAAATGGTGAGGAATATGAAGATCGCGACAACTGCTAAAATATGGGGTGCATTACTTGGAGCTTGTAGGATACACCGGAATCTACAACTTGGAAAGTATGCTTCCGAGAAGCTTTTAGAACTTGAACCTGATAAAGCTTCAAATTATGTGCTCTTGTCCAACATGCATGCTGAGGCCAGCAGATGGGACGAGGTTGAAAGAGTCAGGGTGTTAATGAAAGAAAGTAGCACGGAGAAGCAGCCAGGCTGCAGTTGGATTGAAGTCAGAAATCACGTACATGCTTTTCTCTTTGATGATCCGGCGCAGCCTAGAACAGCAGAGCTTTCAAGCGTATTGAAGAGCCTAACCACAGAGATGAAAAACACAAGTTACATATCGACACCTTATGATTGACAAAGATTTACAACCTACGGTAACAGGTACTGCTTTTTCGCTCTTGCTAAGCTATTAGCAGTATAGCATTTTATAGATCAGTAAATATACGACACGAGCATTCATTTATGATTTATCAATTGTTCTTCAAATAGAGAACTCATACATTGCCAAGGAAAATAGGAAAGAAACTAATTTGTTTTAAGTGATTTAGAGCAATTTACATGAAATTTAGCAATTATACTTATCCGCAGATAACACTCAAACTGGCTATGTATACAGTACTTTAAATGTTTCATCTGTTTAGATCAGTTATCTAATATCCTCTCCTATTCTTTTTCTGGGCTTGAAAAAAGTACAGGAGTAAAAATACACACAGGGTTACTCTTGTCCTATATGAATCAAGAGGGAGGGCACTCTCTTCTCTCAACAAACCCAGAGACTTTCTTCCTCGCCGATTGGAAATTTATGTAGTGTTCCAATTAAAAGGAAATCCATGTTCAACTCAAGGAGCAACATCCTGCTTCCGCAACGATATCTCTGGTATCTTTTCAACCTAAGGACCATAGCCATTCAAATGCGATTTTTGCCATCTCCATGCAATCTGCAGGCTCTCTTGAAGTGTGTAGTGGGCTGTCCAATTCAGCTCCTGCCTTACCTTGGAAGGATCACTATAAACTTTAGCATAGTCCCCTGGCCTTCGGTCGAGGTAATCAACCTTTATGTCCACCCCTGTCGCCTTCTTGCATGCCTCAACAAATTCCTTCACTGAACTACCTGTGATCAAAATGATCCAAAATAACTTCAGGAAATGCAGGGCTAGCGAGGCAAGGGTAAGGAAAGGTTGATAATAATTTCAAGGGAAATGACAGATTTCTTAACCTTTTCCAGTGCCGACATTGTAGATCCCAACCTTCCCAGGTTGTGTGCCGGCGAGAGCTTTTACATGAGCATCAACCAGGTCAGTGACATCTATATAGTCCCTCACACAAGTGCCATCAGCTGTTTCATAGTCTGTTCCTCTTACCTAGAATCAATGGCATAGACAAAAGAATTCAATTTCTCACATTGATTTTGGCCTAAACAAGTGTACTGGAAAAGAGGAGGGGGACAGGGGGAGAAAAGTACCTTCAGTCCAGGAATAATCCCTCGAGCGGCATCAAAACAGGCACCAGAGATTCGTCCCTGCTCACGTAGCTCAGGTCGAGGAGCCTCTCCTAGTCTTCCCTCAGGGTCTGATCCTATCACATTAAAATATCTGGATACGTAACCGTATATATGTTAGGTTCAGTTATACCTAATATATACATTTCGAAGAAATTGCTCATGCCTCATGCTGTGTTGAAGTCAGAATTCAGAAACAAAGCAGCGGGAGCACTTTGCTCGCGCACACGCACGCACACTTTTCAAATAATTAAGCAGAATTCAAGGCCTACCGTAAGATCATGACTGCCATGTTTGAGTTTTTGGAGAAATCTAGTATGATATCTTCTGCCATCTTCTTTGCTTTTCCATATGGATTGATTGGGACCTGAATTCGTACAGTTATAAATATTGAGTATTTCGGAAATTAGCACATCTTCATACATGATTAACACAATATTTAAACTTTACAGTTAATACATGATTAACTGACAAACTAAAACTGTGTTATGAATCTCACTTGCTCGGTTTCTTCGGTGATCGGCATCTTCTCAGGTTCACCATAAGTGGCACAAGTACTGGAATAGATCAATGTTTTTACATTGTGTGCTGCCATTGCCTCCAAAACCAAGAGGGTATTTGATGTGATATTGTGATAGTATCTGCAGCAGAACACTAATTGTATGTCATTAAAAGGTAAACAGAGAAGAAACGAAACTTAATTAACACGAAATTGACGATTGAATACCGAAGAGGCTCGAGTGTACTTTCACCAACATAAGCAACAGCTGCAAAATGCATGACAGCATCAAATGCATTCTCTGAGAAGATGTTATTGACCTAGACAAGAATCAAGGAATATCCAACACGGTGTTCACCCGAGTTCAGTTCACCCTTTCACAGTTTAGATTAGTTTAAAGTAGAATATACAAAAGAAACATATATTAGGATACGGCTTTTGCATCTCCGAGGTCAGCGTATATGAATTGCAGCCTCCCGGGTTCTGGAAACAACTGTTGAAGAACCCTAACAGCACCGATGTTTCCTCGAGAAAGATTGTCCTGCGAAAAGACACAAATTAAAGGGTTTTCAATCGACGAATCATGTAAGAATCACGAAGAAAAAGCTTTCAAGAATGATCGATATATACCACTATCGTTACACGGTATGAGTCCTTCAAAAGCCTAAGTGCAGCATGAGAACCTATGTAGCCAGCACCTCCTGTGACCAAGACATGCGTGATCCCTGCTTCATGATAAGAGAAGATCTGTAGATATACAAAAACATGAGTTGAATGTAAAGAAATCTTGTAAAAAAAAGAACAAAACCGAAAACTATAAATCGGAAACAGACCTTGTTGGGACTGCTAGAATCATGTGACTGCTTGAACAAGACAATGCAGAGGGTGATTAGGCCGGCATGCTGCGAAAATCTTGCCGGAGAATTTGCTCCTTCGTTTCGAGTCTGCAATATCCATGCCTGCAACTGCAACCACAGAGAGAATTGGTTGAAAAATCAAATTTGGTAGTGAAGCACTTTATTAAAAAGTGCTTATACAGGACTAAAAATTGTCTATTGTGATGAGTCCAAAGTCTATGCTTGATGTGCCCTATATGCTTATCTACCTAATACAATGCCCAACTCTGCCGACTTATCGTAGTTAGACTTCTTGACCTATAGCTTATTTGAAAACGTCATAAAAACAAATGACATAATATTCAATTTTTGGGCGAGTGTGTACAATAAAATTTCTGATTCCGTCCCTTGCTTAAAAAAAAAATAATAATAAAAAAATCATAGATGATGATGATTTAAATACGAAAAAGTCCCCATCTCCAAATTAGAAGGATGTATAAAATTCAGCATTGATATATGACTCCCAATTCCGACCCTACAAATAACGTTACCAAAGTATAATAAAAATAAATTAATATACTAGAAGGGAAGGAGTTACAGGCAAAGAAAGAAACGTTACAGAAACATGGTAAACGAAGTGATGAATTTAAGGAACCCTAATGACAGAAACTAATAATTAAGCAAGGGCTGAGATTCATGAGGAGAACCTGAGGAGTCTCGACTGCCACACAGAAACGTCAAACTGGTGACCTCAGAAACGCAGAAACCTGCCAGTCTAAACGAGAACTTGGGAATATAAAACGTCTCTAGTCGTTTCTGTGTAAGGAGGAGGAGGAGGATTAGGTGGAATGAATCTATATTTATATATATTGAGCAAATGAGAGGCGAAGAAGTGTCACTAAAGTTATGCGAGCGAAAAGGAAATACTAACTACCATGAATATTCGTAGAGAGAGAGAGAGAGGGAGAGAGAGAGAGAGAGACCAGGTCCTCCTGCAGGTCTTTGTATTTTGCTAAACTGATGGAGAATGTATACAAACATTCCACGTGCATGGGCGGGCGGGGTTAAGGTTAGCGGCTTCAGCCTCACTCCCGGCGCTCTGCATGTGAATTGACCGGCCTGAGCCCGCAGCTTTAGGGTCTCAGCCCTCAGGCCAGCTTTGCTTCAATCAAAATCTTGAGATTATTACGTATAAGGAGGGGGAGAATCAAATGCATGACCTCAGGTGCGGGGATGGATGCTCGACTGCTTGAACCTTTTCTTAACAAAGAGGTAAATTTTGGGATTATTATTTGGTAATTTAGCTGTGCCTTAAGTCCACCATTCTACTTTGGTTCAAGACATGCACACATACTAATGGAGAGGAGGAATGGAATACAATACCTTGGTTGCCGAGATGAAATGCTCTTACCTACTCGTGTTACAAATATATGCTTGACAAAGAGGTAAATTTTGGTTGTGTACATATATGTATGTGGTAAATGTTTATGGATAGATGGGAGCATCAAATACATGTACCTGCCTTTTGCGTTTAATCGCTTCAGCTACAAGTCGTTGATTAAAGAGGTGAACTTGGATTGCTTCAATATGTATGTGTTATATGTTTATTTCAAGAATGATGATTGCACTTTAAGCATGCTAATGGATTGATTTTGTTCATTTTGGAAATCTACTAATTAATTGTAGTTCTTAACAACCATATATTGTCCTAATTAACTAGTCATAATTAATCTGGGATGGAGAGAAATTATATATGAAACAAATGTATGATTTATATGAATTTTATTGCTCGAGAGAAAACGACTAAACACCTAATCCCTAACCCTCTCTCATCTTAATTAGCTACATAAAACCTGGTCTAATTAGGTTCTCTCCTCAACTCTTAACACTACTTAGTTGAAAGCAATTCCAAGTTTTCATTCATTGGCCTAAGTTTTATAGGTTAAAAATTGAGGATTTAGAAAGAAAAAAAATTGTTATTGACATTTCAAAAAAAAAATATTATTCACTCTTCTCTCTTTTATTGTCAATAACAATTTTGTAAACAAACTAACAACAATGTCATTTCATCGCAAAAGAGGGTCAACAATGAAAGAGTATTATTACATGAACTACTTATGACGTCAATGCATCAGTCGGCTGTATACTTATTGTATCAATTATTATGACCTATTGTTAATTGACATCATATTGTGACCACAAAATGTAATTATCCAACATTATTGTGATTAAAACTGTTTCAAATTGAATGGTTTATTTTTATTATTTTTTGTTGAAATCCTTAGATTAAATGATTGTCTTTCACATTTAGAGTTATGTTTGTTACCAGATTTCTAACACCCTACTTTTCTTTGCTACCCAATTTCTTGCTTACAAGGGAGAATTAGGCAACTCTTAAATCATCTCTGATTTCTCATCTTGCACGTTTCATGAAAGAGAAATTATTATCACACTTCCCTTTGGAAAATCTGTTAGCAAAATAATAGCAATAAAAGACGGCAAATTAATCTATTGGGTTGTTTACAGGTACCCGTTAAGACATGTTTAATTTAATTTCAACCTACGCAATTATTACCACAACCAATATCTTGTTATAGTATGATGATATCCAATTAAACGGGTCTTAACAGGTACCCGTTAAAAACTTATTGTGGTTGATTCGCCACCTCTAATAGCAATGCAACCAAAACGCACCGTCTCACTGTATTCTTCTCTAAATCCTAGGGTCTAGAATATCCTCTTCTAAAACGATGACGTGTCAACCAATCCCACCGTGGAGTCCCATATGCATTCCCTTCTCTCATCAAGTCAAGGTCCAATAATAAAAAAAAAAAGGCATAAGTCCAAGTTGGCATTGTCACGCGGCAACACGCGTAACTCCATCATTGGCTACAAAGCGGACATTTTTGTATGTGATGGTCACATTCTTACCTATCTTATTAAAATAATGCTATTCACACATTTATTTTTACTTCAAACACAATTTTATTAATTTTAATCATTACTTTTTTAAGTCATCCGGTTTAATAGCCATAAATTAAAAAGTAAAAATAAGTATTTGGATAACACCATCCTATTACTAATGTATTTGTTGTTGTTAGAAATGTTTTTTTTTGGGTCAATGTTGTTATAAATGTTTATTTGGTCTTGATGACTAAGAAACACGTGGTCACACACCCTCAAATAAGATATCAAGAGTGAAGAATAAATGAGTTTAATTTTGATATTATAATTTAATTCGTTAGCAAAAATCAATTTTATGTGATAGGAAAGCTTACCAAATGATCAAAATTAATGTAATTACATATTGGGTGGTATATCCACACACTCATTATTTACTTTGGACATACTTCTTGTTAACTTCTACTCTTTGATTTTTCAATTTATTCGATTCAACAGCTGAAATTAAGAAGGATGTATGGTAAGTAAAAAGAAGTGTGAATATGTGCTTTTAAAATGACTGAAAACACTTTTGGTGAAAATGTTTTTAGAACTAATCTTCTTTAGTAAAAATGTAAGTAAATTCTGAAAAATTACTTAAAGTGATTCTTGAAAGAAGCACATAACTGATGTTTCTTGTAGAAAGCATTTTAAGTGCTTTTGGAATCCAAAAATATTTTCTCTAAAAACGCTTTCGGTCATTTTAAAAGGACATTCAAAAGAACCCTCATAACTAATAGTTTACAATTCCACGAATTATAACTTAAAACGATTCATAATATAACGTGACGTGTCGGACAACTAGACAATGACAGGGAAAAACATCTTAACAGTCGACCCGGACATAATGGTCCATTTACGCATCCGAGTCCGAATATCCGAGTTTTAATAGTGAAAAATGCAGTTGGAAAGGCAACCAATGAGAGCGCGCCACCTCAACGCACCTTCTCTATCTGTATTTGCCCACCGCTTCTCTGGAGGAAGGCACGTGCGCCAATGCGAAAGTCGTCTTCTTCCCTTCGCGCTGCAAAGAAAAATGACCTAACCCACATAACCCTCCTTATTTCTCTCCTCCCCCTCTCTCTCTCTCTAATATCCCTCTCAGAAGAGAGAGGGGTTAACCCTTTTTGCCGAATTTGACCCTCGGATTCCCTTCGATTTACACTCCCTTGCCATCCCCCCATTTTCTTCCCTCGACCGCGTAATCTCCTACTGAAGCCTCCAAGTCCCGGCGCGTTTTGCTGTTTGTGCTGATCCGGACCAATACGGCGTAATTTTTGCTTCTGCGGCGGAGCTTCGGGTTGTGGTTTTGGTCCGTCTGTTAATATGGAGAGATCTAATGGCACAGATTTCAGGGACGTGCTTGAGAGTTCCTCGTCAGGTCTGCTTTCGTCTTTGCCTTCAAGATCTATTTTTTTCTTCTCTTTCGCTTGTTTGGGTGCTGAGAAAGTTGAAGGAGAAGAAAAGAAAATCATATATGTTTGAATGTCTTTGTAGTTCGAAGAATCTGGGGCGAAAATGCGAATCTTTTTTCCTTTTTCCTAACATTCTGACCAGAAAATAAAAGTTAGGGTTTTAATTTTTCGACCTGCTTCTGTATCTTGTTTGGGAGATTGTATTGAAGTCGAAATTCGGAGTTTATGATTACTGTTTATGGACGTAAGCTTTTGATGCTCAATAATTCTGCAGAGAGTTTACTCTGAATTGTCAATCAAGTTTAGCTGAATTTGGCTTTAAGGCTGTTTCGAGCTTATATGATTGGGGTCAAGTTCTCGTCTTGACTGAATTGAGAAGCCTAGTTATGAGAAAGACTGAAAATTTGGTTGTCATTGTGTTTTGAATTGTATGGAAATAATTAGTTGGGGTATATAATTCGCACTTCGGTTTTTGAACAATGGCTTGATTTTCTGTTGTTAGTATGCACTGCGCTATTAGCACTTAGTACCATGACCTTGATAATTCGTTTTCGCTGCTTTACTTGTTTATGAACTGTTGAAATTAGCTCTCTTTTTGGGACACCTAACGCTTTTTTCCTATTGTCATACAGAGAATAAACTCTTTGATGCATCACAATATGAGTTTTTCGGTCAAAATGTGGTGGATGAAGTTGAGTTGGGGGGTTTGGACTATGAGGAAGGCAGAAAACCTTTGTTTGGGCCTGCTGATAATGAGTACCATTTATTTGAGAAGGATGAGGTTAGATTATCTTTTCCCAGCTTACCTTACAATTGTCTGTGAGGCCAACAGTGCAATAGTTTATTGTGTTCAATTTGCAGCATTTGTTGTTCTTTTTGAAGCATTGTTTCACGTGCTAAATTGTTCGCATACACTTAAGCAGCGTGCATGTATTTTACTTTATTCATTCTGAGTACTCAAACACCTGGCCTGATGCTATGTGCAACCATTTCCCTATTCTTTTTATTCGTTGTTATAAGCTTCACCTTTATCTATTTAGTTTAATGAAATATGTTGCAGGTCCTTCGGCAATTTAAAACATGTTTACTGACCTCAATCTTTTCTTTTGCATAGGCTCTTGGTTTGGGATCTTTATCTGACATAGATGATCTGGCAAGCACTTTTGCAAAGGTCAGCTTTCTTAACTTTGTTGACTTTGCAAACAGTTGAGTTTGTCTGCAATCAATATCTGTTGGGCCACATCTTTTGTTTGACATGGTTTTGGAATGAAAGTTGTACGGCTGTACTTATCGTATAAATTCCTCAATATGACATTTTTTTGTTGTTATTTCTCAAATGTGGTATTGATGCTAGATCCTTGAGTTGTGTTTGATGTTTGTATTTTCGTCATGCATGCAAAGATCTTAGTGACGGTTGCCCACTTTCTTCTTTTAGAAGTACTATTAATTTATATCTCAGTATTGCATGCCTTTTGGTCCTGAATTTTTTTAATTCTTATCACTATGTTGACAGTACTTATTGTAGTAAACATGACATTCAGTTGTGAGATACTTCAATCCTTTGTTTTGGCATAGTCATACACGTAAATTTGTGGAAATATATGAATTTTTTTTCTTTCTCTTTTTTTGATTCCATATGAACTTTTTTTAGTATCTGAATATATGTATCCTTTTATTTGTTCTTGAGGTACTATTTTTATACTGAATTGCTGACGTGATTTCGATTTTAACAAAGTAAGACTGGAACAATAGAGCTATGTTTTTCATCCAGAATCTTATCTGTCACTTGCCAGTACTTACGACTTACTAGTGATGGTTCTACCCTGTAAATGTGCTGGTTTGAATGAAGCAGATTATGTTATTTCTTCATTTTTATTTCCGTGTTTGATTGTTATATTTGTGATCAATCAATATGTTTGTCTTTCAAGCTCAAAAGTTTTTAGATGTGACAATTTTCATTCTCATGGTGAATGCTTGATCTTTCTGGTCCATGGAGTGCATTTTCCTGACGTTTTCATCTTAATAGCTCATTCTGCCCTCACTAATTCTTAGTAGTGACGTAGTTTTTCTTTTGCACAGTTAAACAAAGTTGTAACAGGACCAAGACATCCAGGTGTTATTGGAGACAGAGGTTCAGGATCCTTTTCAAGAGAAAGTGAGTAACTGTCAACCATTGCCATCGTGTTATGGTGGTTCTTATTTTTGTTGCACGCATGCTTGCTCTGGAATTGTTTCTTTGAGCCAGTATCTGCTGGAAATTAGCCTCCATTGAAGCTTAATAAATAAGAAAATAAAATAGTTGATTATGCATTACAAAGCTTTTGTTACCTCTGTTTAACTGCATATATGCATTACAAAGCATATATGATGTGTTTTAGCATTCCATAAACAATTTATCAAATTGAAACACGAGTGCACTCATTGTAACAGTATTAAAACTAGAACAGTCGTATTGTGCTTAACAATTGTTTGCACATTATGCTTTATCATTTATTGATTTTTTAGGATCTAGATACTCAAGATTTAATGTGCAAAAGATTGGGTGGTTTTGTTGCTTTGCATTGCAAAATAGAAGTAAGCTAGCTGAAAAACAGCAGCAGTTAGCTATAAGATAATTAAGGTTCTAAGGCTTCAGCATTTGTTTATGGTCATTATATCACCCTCCCCTTATATTGCTAGCTAATTTTTATCACCTCTTTGGTATATTTTTATGTGCTTGATTTCTTCCATTTGTGAAGTATGTAATGTAGCTATAGCCTCCGTACAATTTTCAGTTTTCTGAAATTTTATTTTGGCTTTATCTAACGTGGTGTTTTCTTCAGGTTCATCAGCTACTGATTGGGCCCAAGACGGAGATTTCAATAACTGGTTAGATCAGCATATGTTTGATACAGAATTTTCCGAGGAAGGAAAGAGGTGGTCATCACAGCCGCAACCTTCTTCTGCTCGATTTTCAGAATCAAAACAACCAAAACCTTTGTACAGAACATCGTCATACCCAGACCAGCAGCCAGTCCAGCATCACTTCTCCAGTGAACCAATTGTACCGCCCAAGTCAGCATTCACATCATTCCCTCCTCCTGGAAACAAGTCCCCGCAGGGCTCACCACATCAGCTGAATCTTTCTGCTCTTGTGGGTGGTTCCCAGTTGCCTTTTTCTGCACCAAACCTTTCTCCTTTATCTAACTCTAATCTTCATATGGCCGGTTTACCTCATGGGTTGCATTATGGAGGGAACATGCCTCAGTTTGCCAACCCTAGCCTTCCTTTCAATAGCAGGTCACAGAATCATTGGGTTACGCATGCTGGAATATTGCATGGCGATCATTCCAGCCTCAGAAACAATATGTTGCAGCAACAGCTCCCTCATCAAAATGGACTCCTTTCCCCACAATTACTGTCAGCTCAGCAGCAGCTACAACAGCAGAGATTGCACCATTCGGTTCAGCCATCTTTGGCCCATTTTGCTGCAATGCAGTCTCAATTTTATGGTACTCACCCTTCTTCATCACATAAGTCAATGCATGGGTTGTCTGACATAAGTAATCATAGACCAAAAAGAGGAAAACATCGTTTTTCTCAAGGCTCTGATACTGGTAGTCAGAAAAGTGAGAGTGGGTGGATCCAGTTCAGGTCTAAGCACATGACATCTGAAGAGATAGAGAGTATTCTTAAAATGCAGCATGCTGCAACACACAGCAATGACCCTTATATTGATGATTATTACCACCAGGCAAGTCTTTCCAAAAAAGCAGCTGGCTCGCGGTCAAAACATCCTTTTTGCCCATCTCATCTTAGAGAGTTCCCTTCCCGCGGCCGTAATAGTACTGATCAGCATACTCATAGTTCTGTCGACGCTCTTGGGAGAATTCCCCTTGCTTCCATACGTAGGCCTCGCCCCCTCCTTGAAGTTGACCCTCCCCCTGGTTCTGGCGATGGCGAGCAGGTCTCTGAGAAGCCTCTGGAGCAGGAACCCATGCTTGCTGCTAGAATTGCCGTTGAGGATGGGCTTTGTCTCCTTCTTGATGTTGATGATATTGATCGACTGCTACAGCATGGTCAGCCCCAAGATGGTGGGGTTCAACTCAGGCGAAGGCGGCAAATACTGCTGGAGGGGTTGGCTGCATCACTTCAGCTTGTCGACCCACTTGGTAAAGGCAGCCACTCAGCGGGGCTGGCTCCAAAGGATGACATAGTGTTCCTACGTTTAGTTTCTCTTCCTAAGGGGCGAAAGCTCCTTTCTAAGTTTATTCAGCTTCTCTTCCCTGGTAGTGAGCTTGCCCGTATTGTGTGTATGACAGTATTCCGTCATTTAAGGTTTTTGTATGGTGGCCTACCTGCAGATCCTGGAGCTGCTGAGACAACTAGTAATCTTGCAAAGAGAGTTTCTACATGTGTAAATGGTATGGATCTTCGTGCGTTAAGTGCTTGTCTTGTTGCAGTAGTTTGTTCATCAGAGCAGCCACCGCTCCGACCCCTTGGAAGCCCTGCTGGAGATGGGGCCACTATTATCCTAAAATCTGTTCTTGAAAGGGCAACTGTACTCTTAAGCGACCCTCACGCTGCTGGGAGCTGTAGCATTTCTAACCGTGCCCTTTGGCAGGCATCATTCGATGAATTTTTCGGTCTTCTCACTAAGTATTGCCTGAGTAAGTATGAAACTATAGTACAGTCAATATTTACGCAGAGTCAGCAAAGCACAGAAGCTATTGGTTCAGAGGCAACCAAGGCGATACATCGTGAAATGCCTGTGGAGCTTCTGCGTGCTAGTCTTCCTCACACAGATGAGCGTCAACGGAAGCTTTTGTCAGATTTTGCTCATCGATCAATGCCCATTTCTGGTCTTAATGGCCATGGCGGGAACGGAGGTCAAATGAACTCTGAATCAGTGAGGGGATAGTTGAGGACTGCGAGTTGTCTGGGAAGGTTTGTGAAAAATATAATCTTTCACCGGCAATTCTATGGCGGAGGTCATATGCATTTACAAAGTGAATCTGCTGGGAATGTGGCAGGCTGGTGTGCCGGGGGTGGCACACTTGTGCGTGCATCCCCATCGAAGTAATTTTAAAGGCTTCGCTTTAATTTGTTGCTTAACTTTTTACTGTTCCGAAGTTGAAGAAAACATGTGATGCTCGGTTTGATGATGAATGTCATGCAATGCATAAAATGTGTAATATGATTCTGGACGTGATGGGACGGGGACGGGGTCGGGAAGTTTCTGAGTCTGCAAGTTGGTTCTTCTGGGGAGCTTTATTTTGGTGCTCTGTTGAACTGGAAGCATAGGGATAGAGATGATGTACAGAGTGTAGTCTCACATAAACCCTCAAAACTCCTTTTGTTCCAGTTCTCTCAATTTCTCCCGAATTTCTAATTCAGTTATGTATCTCTCTGTTAGCCAGCTTATTAGGATCCGCATTACATTCTCTCTTCTCTTAATTTCTCTGTGTTTTTCTATCTTCTTTTGTAAAAGGACCGATCGAACGTTAACCCTTAGCCAGGTTGGTAAGGATCCAAAGGTGAAGGTATTGAAGCTCATAGTTACACTGTGTATGGCTTATGTGGGCGTATTAAGATAATTTTGTAATTTAAAAAGTCGATGTGGGGTGTTTTTAAGTACACAGGGCGTCGTCAACGAAATATGCCATTACTAATTACACATGCTTTAATTTGGTTATATATAAACAGTAATTAGGGCATTAGTTTCTGGACATTTTTGACCCAAAAAACTGAATTGGACCAAAATCGTATAAAGCCATGCCGAACATGAAGTTGATTTATTTATTTTAAAGAAATTTGACAGAACCGAATCAGACTGATTTATTTACTAATTTATTTCGGCTCGGTTTTGATTGAGATTTTAAGAAACAGGTGGTCCAACCGAACCGAACCGATTTCTAAAATCCATACCTGACTTCCACGGTCAGTGCTTGCACAGCAAACCACCATAGCAGCACAAGTTGTAATTTAAACGAACAGGTACACTAATAACATTTTTAAGTTGTCGTAATTTAAACGAACAGGTACACTTATAACATTTTACAAAATATCACTTTTTCTTATCTCCGAAAAAAAAAAAAAAAATCACTTCTAATAACAAAACCCTATAGCCACCTTTCATTCGCCCTTTTTCTTCACCATTTCCGACCACCCTTCTTTACCATTGCATTCAACCACCCACTGCCACATTTGCGTACAAACTTTTTCATTCGCCCTTCTTCTTCTTCTTCTTCTAGCCAATCGTCCTGGCCCCTTCAACTTAAGCCAAAGATATATTTTTGCTGCATGCCCAAATATGTACGTAATTGTCACACAATTGACATAATATCATGGTATAAAAAATAGAAGAGACGTTGAGCCCTAAACCGTGGTATCATAGTGAGAGTGGTGAAAATGGCCAAACTCCTGGGGACCGTCAAAGCAAACACAAACCATGCCAAGATTATTTCACAAGTGGCGGCAAGATCAATGGCTGCCCCTAATTATACAACTCTTGCTGCTCCTCCAGAGCTCAAAAGATTCAACAGCCAGGCACCAGCAACGAAAAGGCTCCCTCACCCTCCGGCGGAGTTGGAGGCCTCCTTGGCACATCTGAAGCGACTGCTCCCGCTGGCTTGGTTTCACAATCCCCTAACCACCCTTAAGCTCATCTATAACCTACTAGACATTATGGGTGGATAATTCTAAGAAAAAGCCTTCCACACGGCGGCGTATTGGCTCCACCAAAACCCTAGCGTGCAATATCGCCCATATTCCCGAGTCGTTTGGGATTTTTATCGACCCTGTCGTGATTCTATACCAGCTTCTAGATGACGCAAACGTGACAAAAATGGCTGTTGTAGAGAGGTATGAGTGTGACCCGAATTATCAGTTGTTATAGGACCGAGTTACGAATCTTTTCGTGAAGAAGTTGGAGTCTGATACTGAAAATTTGTCAAGAAGACTGGTGAAGAGAAGTAAAATCCACATAAGCGGGGCAGCACGCTGTTGCCTTTCCGACTCCATCGAATACCCTCAGGCCATCGAAGCCACTAGGCTGCATTGCGAGGAAGCTTTTCCCACGAGAATCATACGACCCCGAATACTATACGGAGGATCATTATAACAACAGGGTCTTTGTGCGGCTCACCAATGAAGTTTTGGTGCCCTTAACGGATGCCTACAACTGTCATGAAAATTATTGGCCAAAAGAAGAGCACCGGAGCTCTGTGGCTGACAAGTATTTGGAAGCGGCGAACGTCAACAAGGCAAAGGTTGTGGGGGATGCTTTGCTTCCGCATGAAATCATACGCAACGTGCATCATCGGAATGTGAGGAAAGTGGCCGACCTTCAGTGGATGGCAATGGTCGAGGACATAAAAAAACAAAGTAAAAAATCGCAAGAAGATACTCAACAACTGCTTGGCTGTATGTGACATCAACCCTCACTTCATGGACGAGATGCACGTGGACGTGTCCATTGCTTTGGGACTTTTGGTGTCTGAACTGAGTAAAGAGCGGTGGAAAGGAAAAGTGATTAATTACGGTGATTTGCCTCAGCTACATTTGATACAAGGCGGTGATGATCTTAGGTGCAAGTGCAAGTTTGTGAAGAAGATGAAAGACCATGTCAACTGCTATCCAGAATTTGGGAAGATATTTGACTTGATCCTGGAAGTGGCTGTGAACAGGAATTTGAAGCCAGAGCAGATGATTCGGAATGTGTTTGTGTTCAGTCACCAAGACTTTGATCTTGAGATTAATGATATCAATCGTTGTAGCTGCTTATGGGATGATCATTATAAGGCTATACAAAGAAAGTTTAATGATAAAGGCTACGGGGATGCGGTACCCCACGTTGTGTTTTGGACATTGTCAGAATACAAGCCGACCAAAGCCGGCGATGCCTTGCACTACACAACCAGGGATGACGTTATTGCATGGCTTCTCCGACAACTTGCTCAAGTTGTTCTTGGACAATGACAGGGATATTAGCCCGGAGCAAGTCATGGAAGCGGCGGTTGATGACAAGAAGTATGAGAGCCTGCATGTGGTGGACCGACTGACGTTTATTACGGTGATATTGTGTTTTGTCTCTCTTGTATTGTTAGTTTTGTGAAGAATAACTTGATTACTGGTTTTGTCTGTCTGATTTAAGTTATTGTTATTATCATTATTTTCTTTTTCTTGCGAAATCATAGCAGATTATTATCCAAGGATATAGATCAAATCTTACAAGAAGCAATCTCATTCACACCTAGACTTGCATGGAACGAGACGCCAAGGTGGTATTGTCACATATCAGTGATACATACCGGCACTTTGAGCTTGGTTCGAGCCCTAATTTTGCGGTTTACTTCTTGGCTTGTTGGGAAGTGGAGATTTGCATGGGAATCATCGTGATCCTAAATGCCGTTAAGGGATGGCGGAACTTGGGTGCGTAGACGACGGGGGAAGCGGTGCCTGGAAAGTATTTTCTATTTTTCAATTTAGAAATATTATTTTCATGTTTAAATTAAATATTTAAAACAATTAAGAATTTTAATTCCTCGAGTAATAATAAAAAATCAACTGGATTAAAAATAAAAAAATAAAAAAAAAATAAACTTAAGCGTCAAGAATTTGTCTCTCAGTTAAAGGAGGTTGGTGCTCCATTGTTGCTGATCTCTTTCTCATTGTCCAAAATGCGGCGTAGTATCGGTTCTGCAAGAAAAGGGGACCTTCAGATTATCAAAGCAGCAAAGGTTTAAATAGAACAACTCAGCTTTAAACAGGTTTCAAATCTAAAACTTCTGGCATTCGAGGAGTGACATATGCAGAAATCCCCAATTTAGAGATTACAACACGAAAACGGAATAAAGAGGGGAAAAGGAAGAAAAAGAAAAGCCACTTCAGGTGGTATTACTTACCTGCATCATTGACCTAGGATTTGTAGTGTAGGTTGTCTCAACGGTGCTTTCTTTCTGTGGTTTGAGAACAACGCAATTTATACGGTTATGATCATCCAACGATGCTTAAGCAACATAACGGAATTGGAACGAGCTTACCTCAAAATGAAATCCGTAGTGCAAGGCAACCCTCCTCACATCCTCCAAACTCAGTTCAACAGACATTTCCTGAAACAAAACAATGAAAACAATTTTTTTTTTTTTAAAGTAAGCGTATAGAGCTCCCTCAGAGCATGTCAGCACGAAATGCTTAGTTGAAAGGAAGCTTACATCTTGCCCATAGACATCAGCAAAGTGGTATAGTAGGGGACCCAAATTTATCCAAACCTGTCATCCAATCAATCAAGGATTAATAAACTGAAAAGACGGGGGAACAAAAACTAGAGTCAACAGACTCATCACGACTGAGGAACTTACTCCACCATCCTTCAAGATTCTTGATATGATTTCTATGTATTCAATAATGTTGTGTGCCGTATCAATAAAGAAGCAGGTCACAACCGCATCCCAGACACCTGTACATTCCACAAATATCTCCATGAGAAATACTACGGAGGTTATTTATGCGCGTTCCTGAAGTGCATGCAAATCTAAATCTTTCGAAGATAATTTCTGAACAATAAACAAATTAAATTATCCAACCATGTTATATTGTAAAAGTAATTTATGTTACCATCTGTACGGGAACAGGTATGAACCATCTAAATTTGTTTCGTCAATCTGCTTGAACAGGTTTTTCTTATTATTTAGAACACCTTGCCCTTAAGTCTAAACCCTAAAGTTACGGGCCGCTTGGTTCCGGCTGTTTTGGAATTTATTTGTCACAAACACTTTATAAATTGACCGGAAAGAAATTCATTTAGGTCTCCTCCCAAAGATTGTATTCAATATTTAAACACTATGAACGGGAAAAGCAAGAGATTTATTTTATATCTCGCCCAGATATGTTTATACCAGACCAGACAACTATCTGCTGTCTCAGCTTAGCAACACTAGACCTTAACAATTTAAGACCACCTGTCTATGCTGAAGCTACTTGCCACATCATACACCAACATAACAAATGGATTACCACAGGATAAATGCAATGGAAAATTTCTTACGATATTTCCTACTACTAGGTGCTCAAAATATCTACTGTTCATTAACCTCAATTACAATGTTTGAATATAAGAAACCCATATTTTCTTACCTACTTGGTTTGGATCGTTGTAAACCTCAACAAAGTCGCCACCACACATAGAAAAGCCTTCAGTAATCCCTGCACTGTTTGAAAGAAAACCTACAATTATTGGAAAACAAATCCTAATAGAAACTTTTACGAAAAGAAGATAGTACTCATATTAAAAATAGGCTTATTTTTAGCTATGACACCTGTACCTTTCACCAAATCTCACTTTACCCCCTACACTTTATATTGTCTCACTTTACCACCTGCGCTATTCCTTTGTGTCTCACTTTACTCCTACACTATATTGTCTCATTTTAACACCTGCACT